AAGGCTGCATCTGAGAGGGAGTGGGGCCCCTCGCCTTCCCTAGGGGACAGCATATTTTCCTAATTCACACAAAGGGGCAGTCTGTGCAGGGGAGCGGCACCCCCAGGCAGGGTCAGAGCAAGTAGGGGAGCTAAGAAGGGATTACAAGCTGTGTCTGGCCTTCTGGAGGGGCCTCCTTGGAAGTGGGTTTGTCTGTGTGCATTACAGTGATTGACAGCTGGGATCATGGGCTGAGCTGATCCAGGTTCTCCTGGGGGGTGGAAATAGCAAGTGTGAGAAGAGAGTGGAGAATGGTAGCGGAAGGCTGAGGAAGTCGGGATGAGGGAGGCTAACTAGAGAAGAGGGGTGAAGTGGGAGCTGGTGAAGGTCAGAAGACAGGGAAGGTTCTGGAAGGAGTGGGCCAGGCTGGTCTAGGGGAGACAGGGATGTCTGAAACAGGGCAGAAAGAAAGTACAGAGTGGAGTGGAGACAGTGTGAGAAGAGCAGGAGGGAGAGAGAAGGAAAGAGGGAAGGAGGAAGCTGGAAGAGAGAGACAGGGGGACAGAAAAAGAAAAACAAGAAGAACCACAAAGAAAGAGGGAAGGTCAGAGAAAAGGAGGCAGAGAAGGGCTGAGGGCAGTTAATGGACACTGGTCATACTACGGGGGCTCTAGACACTAAAGTTTAATCTTGAGAACAACCTCCCCATACAAGTTGAACCTCCTTAGGGAAATTAATCTAAAATGCCTGACTGCTGGGGCGTCTAGGTGGCTCAGTTGGTTAGGCGTCCAACTTTTGGTTTCAGCTCAGGTCATGATCCCGTGGTTCGTGCGTCGAGCCTCACGTCCGGCTCTGTGCTGACAGCTCGGAATCTGCTTGGGATTTTATGTCTCCCTCTTTCTCTGCCCTTCCTCTGCTCGCTCTCTATCTTTCTTTCTCAGAATAAACAAACATTTAAAAATAAAACAAAATAGGGGCACCTGGGTGGCTCAGTCGGTTGAGCATCTGACTTTGGCTCAGGTCATGATCTCCCCGTTCGTGATTTTGAGCCCCCATGTGGGGCTCTGTGCTGACAGCTCAGAGCCTGGGGCCTGCTTTGGATTCTGTGTCTGTCTCTCTCTTTGCCCCTCCCCTGCTCATGCGCGTGCGTGCGTGTTCTCTCTCTCTCTCTCTCAAATATAAATAAGCATAAAAAATAAAAAAATAAAATAAAATAAATAAAACGCCACAGCACAGGAATACGAATATGGCCCAAACTCCATCTCTGCTCCTGGACCAGGAATTGCAAAACATCCCCCCAGGGAACCAAATCTGTCCCCTGGTTGCCTTTCATGCACCAGTGTCTTCATGCGTTTAAGTTTTGAATTGGTAAGAGGTGTCTAACAAGGTGTGGGGGTGGGGGGCGCTACCTCAGTCTGGGGCTGAGCTGGCAGCACCCGGCCCTGGGCTCATGGGGTCTTGCTTCACCCATCTACACCCCCAGCCTGGCCCCTGAAGACCCTTGAGTTTGAGATCTCTGCTAGAGGGGCAGACACAGGGAAAGGGACAGAAACCAGAGCTCCAAGCAGGGCAGGGGACAGAGCTACAAACACAGACAGACATGGGCAGGCAGGTGAGACAGACTCTCCTCACCACTACCCCTCCCCCCCAGCCACACACACATCCCGGGGAGCCACAGAATGCCTCTGGTGCCCACTAGAAGTTGTGTCAGTATGACAACGCAGCCATCCAGTGGGAACAGGGGTGGGTGGATTACACAGATGCAGATGACAGAGGAGGACCCGCATAAAACCTCTACCCAGCGTGGTAGAAACAGAGGCCTCCCGTGGGAGAATCAGAGAAAGTCTCAAGAAACAGAAGTCCCCTCCCCCAGCCAGATGGAAGCAAAGCCTTCCTCTCTTCACATGAAGATGGAGGGACAGAGACACACCTCCCCCACAGAACCCCAGTGAATGACCTCTACCAAACACCCCCACACGCTAATGACAAAGGCCCCCTAATCTCTTATTCCTATGCCCTTCCCCCTAATCACTGCCCCCCAGGCTTCAGAGAAGGGGCTGCTCCGCATTTAAGACAGTTCCCTAAAAATGAGGGAACTACACACCACCACCCTCCCCTACCCACCAGAGAGTGGCCAGAGGCGTGTCCTAGTCCCTCACCAGAAGGAGGGCCCTGGTTCCAGGAAAAACTTGCACTCATCACTCAGAGCTGTCCCCAGGACCCGGGGGCGGGACCACCACACAAGATTGTGCAATATGTGCCCCAAATAAGGATACGCAAGCAAGTGACCCAGTAGAGGCTAAACCCCAGGCGACCCGGCTCTAGTCAATAGGGTCTCCAGGCAAAGGCTGCCTCCCCCTGTGGGAAGACGCGGCCTTGACCGCCCAGAAGGTAGATTTCTTTAATTCACACAAAGGGTTTTGTGTGCAGGTGGCGGAGCCGGCAGGGCAGCTGAGCAGACAAGAAAGCGGGGACGGGATGGGTTGATCTGGCTCGGGCTTGCTTCTGCCCCCCAGGGCAGGGTTTCTTTGGAGCAGCGGTTGACGTTTGTGAATTTGAGTGATTTCTGCCTGGAGACTAGACATCAGCCACCCCGAGGGCAAGGACAGGACGAGGATGCAAGTGCCCTCACCGCAAACAGGCGCAGCACGTTGGCGACCATGATGGAGACGGAGCTGGCCGACGCGCCGACGACAGCCACGACCCGCTCGGGGGGCGCAGCGCGCAGCGGAGGGACGCCTCCGGGGCAGCGCACGGCGCCCTCGTCGCCGTCGCCGCGGCCCTGAATCAGCGCCTGCACGAAGCTCAGCGCCTGCTCCAGCGCGTACGTGTCCCGCGAGCAGGTGTCCAGCAGCCGCGCGCCCAGGCGCACGCCGGGCAGCAGCTCGGGGTCGGCGTTCACGCGGTCCAGCGCGTACAGCATGGCCTCCAGCCGGTGCACGCCCTGCTCCTTCTTCAGCTGCCCGCACGCCCTGCCCGCAGCGCCCCGCGCGTGCACCGGGAACAGGCCGCCCAGCGTGAGGCCGCCCGCCAGGCGCACCGAGCCCGCCGCGCCCGCCGCGCCCGCCTGCACCAGCACCAGCAGTGACGGCAGCAGCGCCAGGAGCCGCGGCTCTCCGGCGCTCCCGGGAGGGCCCATCGGCTGTCCGTCTGCGGGAGGACCACAGGGCGGGGAGGGGAACAGAACAGGGGACCGCTCTGAGCGCTTGGCAGAGGGAGAACCCCGGGTCGCGGGCAAGGGGAAGGAGCCCCGGGTCCTGGGGAGAGGGGAGGCGCGCAATAAATGTTGGCTGAGCCGGCTGGGGAAGAAATGGGATCAATTCGCCCAGCCCTCCCAGGTCCCCACCGCGCTCTCACACCGTCTGAATCTTAGCACACGGGTCCCCTCGCCCCACCGCTGTCTCCACCGCGCCAGCCTGCCCCTCCCTGACTGCCCTGGGCCTCTGTTCCTCAGGGACGCATCCCCAGCGCACAACTAGGCACCCACCCTCACCACACTCACCTGCGCCAACCAATGTCAGGATAGGGCTGTGACAGATGCACAGGGCCCAGAGCGAGAGAGGATTTAAGGATTCTGGGGGAAGGGATGAGGCCGCCCTGAGGGTGGAGACCCCTCCTGAGTATGGGGTGTGCGCAGAACTGACTCTCTGTATCACCTTTCCCTTCCTCTCCTGCTCCCTGGGTCTGTTTTCCTCTCTTTGGATGTGTGTCTCACTCCAACCTCTCTCTGGCTGTCTTTGACACACACACACTGTCCTTCTGTGTCTCTTTTTTTGTTTCTCTCTCAGGCTCTCTTCTCCGCCAGCTGCCCTAACCCCTACCCCCCACCTTCTCTCTCCTCTGTCTCTGTCAATTTCTCTTTCTTTCTTTGTTCTTTTCCTCTCTTTCCTAGCCACCAGTGCCTTGGCTCCGGCTGCCTAAGGCACTCCTCCAAACCCTGCAGTACACTCGGTAATGGAGGGAGAAAGGGGCTGAATGAGCAAGAACGGGCAGGGAGGGACCATTAACATTAGCAAGAACTCTGCTTAACACACACACAACCACCTGACAAAGAGGAGACTTTTACCATCAGTGCTGTTTGGCAGATGGGAAAATAGAAACCTCATCCAAGTGACTAATCCAAGGTCACACGGTTGGTGTGGGTCAGCATCAGGATTTGCACCCAGCTTGGTATGAAACTACCAGCCCACACTGCCTTTGATGGGGGCAGGGGACAGTGCCAGCTCGCCCTGCAGCTCCTGCCCCGACCTCTTGCATCTGATGAAGGAACCCTAAAGAGCTGTTCTTTTGGTCAGGTCCAAGGCCTTCCTGGGCTCTGGGGTCTGAGCAGCTTTCTGTACCTGAACTTCCCCATCTCATGGTTGAGGGACAAGGTGAGGGGGCTTTAGCCTCAATAGACTTTTACCATCATCCCTGTCTGAGGCCCTGAATCTGGCTCTCTGATGGAGAGAGAGAGAGAGAGAGAGAGAGAGAGAGAGAGAGAGAGAGAGAGAGAGCACAAAGGGCAGCCTGGAGACAGGTGGTGAGCTCCCAGCCCCAGGGATTTGCAGGCTCATCCCATGGGGCATGAGCCAGCTTGGGCTCCATTAGTCAGGATGGATTAGGATCTGGGGATGCAGGGATTTGGGCAAAGCTGGAAGAGGGAATGAGCAGAGGCCATGTCACCCTTCTCCCTTCCCCCACCCCATTCAAGGGCTCTGCCAGTCTTTTTCCAGAGCCATCCGGGCACCTGTCCTTGGCAGAGGCTGGGAGTCAGAAGGCCTGGATTGGCTCTGCCTTTGCCCATTTTATAGCTTGGGAAGGATGGAGCATTTCACTGAGGCAAAGCCCCAAGCTTGACATTGCAAAGGGCCATACAAACTGGGTGTTTGCGGTGGCTGGGCCAGGCTCACAAGTCCGTTTATAGCCCTTCTGTGCTCAGGACAAGACAGACAAGGCCACAGCTGGTGTCACAAAGCAGGTTCTGGAATCACAGGGTCAGAGCATCCCACTGGCTCTAGAATCCAGGATGGACCATCAATAACTGGGGCGGGTCCCTCACAGTGGCACAGAGGGAGGCGAGAGGGTCTGCGCCCAGACCTCTGCAGGTGGGAGTGGGTGGGCTCCAGGCTCTGGGCAAGACATGGCTCTGAGGATGAGGAAGGTGAAGGTGTCATGTCTGGAGCACCTGGGAAGAGGGAATAGCATTCCCTGGGAATGTCAGGACCCGGACCGGGGCAGAACAGGTCTGTGGAGGTCAGAAGTCGAGAGTTCAGTTTGGGACACAGGAAAGCCGAGGATCTCATTCAGTTGGTTGGATTTGTGAGTCTGGAATTGAGGGAAGAAGTCAGGGTGGGAGATAGAGCTGAGACACCATCAGTGAGTATTCAAAGCCACGGATGGATGAGCTCACCTGGGCAGAGGATATGGACAGGGGGTGAGGATGGAGCCCTAGGTCCCCCTAACATTAGAAGGGAAAATAGAAGAGGGGAGACTTAGGAGGGGGTGGCCAAGAAACCAGGCTTGAGGAAGAAGGGAAAATCCATTATAATTAATTCAGCCTCATGCAGTGGCAAACGGTCATTGTTCACCTTGCACAGATGACACAATGGAGCCAGAGAGGTACAGTGACTCCCCCAAGGCCACACAGCACAGGAGACAAGGGGCTGTTCAGACAACCATGGTAAAAGCTCAACAATTTTACTTCAGACTAAATTATGAAGTTCCATAATTCCAGCTCCAGCTATTTCAATTGACAAAATTAAATGGAATTTAAAGCTCAGGGCTGCTGCTTTCAGTATGCTGGAAGATTTTATATTTATATTTGTATTTACTTATATTTATTTATTTAGGCTAGCCTTCCAATTTAATAACCAGATGACTTTTATTGCAAAATTCATTTAAAAACTATAGGTGCGTCTGGATGGCTCAGTCAGTTAAGCATCTGACTTCAGCTCAGGTCATGATCTTGAGGTTTGTGAGTTCGAGCCCCGCGACAGGCTCTGTGCTGACACCTCAGAGCCTGGAGCCTGCTTCAGATTCTGTGTCTCCCTCTCTCTCTGCCCCTCTCCCGCTAACACTGTCTCTCTCTCTCTCAAAATAAATAAACACTAGGGGCGCCTGGGTGGCTCAGTCAGTCAAGCTTCAAACTTCAGCTTGGGTCATGATCTCACAGTCCATGAGTTCGAGCCTCTGAGTCAACAGCTCAGAGCCTGAAGTCTGCTTAGGATCCTGTGTCTTCTTCTCCCTCTGCCCCTCCCCTGCTCACACTCTCTCTTTCTGTCTCTCTCAAAAATAAACATTAAAAATTCTTTAAAAAATAATAAACATTAAAAAATTTAAAACTATATGTCTGCGGGTTGATTTAATGTCTAGCTTCAAAGTTTCTGATACCTGGTTTGGGTTGCTATACATATTCTACCTTCCCCTTTGTTGAAAGAATGGGGGACGTGGTTTGTGTGAGAAACGGCATGTCTGGCATGGTCTCTGATTCGAGGATGTTTGAAAGGCATGGTTGTCTGTACCTAAGGACACCCCCCTGAGCCCTCCCTGAATGTCTTGTGTGGGCGTGTGTGCCTTTAGAAGCCTCCCATCCCATTGCAGACCTGGCCCAGCCTCCCCACCTGACCCCCTCCCAAATCCTTATATACAAATGCTCCTCACAGCATTATTCATAAGAGACAAAAGTTAGAAACAATGCAAAAATCCATCGAGGGGTGCCTGAATAAACAGATTATGTTATATTCATGCAATGGAATATTCTTCATCACAAAAGGAATGAAGTACTGACACATGCTACAATGTGGATTAACTTCAAAGACATTATTCTAAATGAGAGAAACTAAATGAAACTAAATGAAAGGTGACATGCTACATAGCTGCATTTGCATGAAATATCCAAAATAGGTAAATTCACAGAGACAGAAAGCACACATTTGTGGTTGCTGAGCGCTGATTGGTGGGGGGAGGAACTGCTTAATGGGTGCAGAGTTTTCTTGGGGCACCTGGGTGGCTCAGTCAGTTGAGCATCTGACTTTTGAGTTCAGCTCAGGTCATGTGACCCTGATCCCAGGGTCATGTGATCAAGCCCCATGTCAGGCTCCATGCTAAGCATGAAGCCTGCTTAGGATTCTCCCTCTCTTTCCCTCTGCCCCTCTCCCTGCTTGTGTTCTCTCTCTCTCTCTCTCAAATAAAAAAAAAATTAAGAGAGTTTTCTTTGGAGATGACTCAGATGTTTTGAAACTATATAGAGGTGGTGGTTGCCCAGCACTGTGAATGACCTGTAACTATTATCAGTGGAAAACAACTCAATCCAGATAAGACTGCTAATGGATGGACCAGACCCTTCAGGGTCACTGTATTAAGAACCATGACCAGCGGACATCCTTGCTGAGGACAAAGCAAATATAAAATGGGTGGTGGAAGAAGGTAGTTATGAGTACTGGCTATGACCTTATGACCAGTTATACAAATAAGGGTTGAAATTATCATGAGTTCATTTTTTGTGGTATGAACATGTCTGTTTATAAAGCTTTGTTTTCTTCCTCCTTATTCCCTTAACATATAAAAGAGGACTTGTTGACTTTATATCATAATATTTAAGTATTTTTTACTTATTACCATTGTATTTTAGGGACGGATACCAAGGAGAAGGTATTCATCACTTAAGGACGTTACCTCTTCTTCTGGGGGAGAGGTGAGCACATTTTTGGTTTGCAGGATGTATCATGTTTGGTAGACAGAAGTATGATCTTGATATTATCTTTATTTGAAGATTAAGTATGGTTTAAAGGGATGCAAATGGGTGCCAGGTTGACAAGGGGTGGATTTGTGATGGTTAGTATTATATGTCAACTTGGGTGGGTCAAACATTCTGGATGTTTCTGTGAGGGTATGTTTTGGAGGAGATTCAAATTGGTGGACTTAAAGTGAAGCACATTCTCCTCCATAATGAAGGCCTGAACAGAACAAAAGGCTGACCAGCAGATGGCCTTCACACTTGAAATGCAACATTGGCTCTTCCTCAGTCTTCAGCCTACTGATCCACTCTACAGATTTTTGACTTGTCAGTCTGCATAGCTGTGTGAGCCATTCCTTAAAGTAAATCTTTCTTTCTCAGTCTCTCTCACTCTCTCTCTCTCTCTAAACACACACACACATTAGTTCTGTTTTTGTGGAGAACCCTGACTAATACTGTTACAGGATCTGGTCTGGATCACCCAGTGGAGGAATCAAGCAGCACTCAGACATCTCGGAAGGGAGGACGTTTATTTTACACCGGTGGGCTCAGAGGAGATCATTCCCCAGAGGTCTGAGCGCAGAGCATTAGCAGAGGGAACAATTTATAGCCAGTTACTTCCGCATTCCTCACTAATCAGGGACAGGCGTTTTCTATTAGTCCTGTCGGCCATCTTATAACAGATGTTCCCTATCAATACAATATGTTTCCGATTTTCTTGTGCATATACCTAGGAGCAGAATTGTTGGATCATATAATTCCATATTTAATGTTCCTTTTTAAAATTAATTTTTAAAAAATGTTTATTCATTTTGGAAAGAGAGAAAGTGAGAGTGGGGGAGGGAGATACAGAGAAAAAAAAAAAAAAAAAAGAAAGGTGCAGGGTGCCTGAGTGGCTCAGTTGGTTAAGCGTCCAACTTCGGCTCAGGTCATGATCTCATGGTTCGTGGGTTCAAGCCCCACATCGGGCTCTGTGCAGTCAGCCTGTCAGCGAGAAGCCTGCTTTAGATCCTCCGTCCCTTCTCTCTCTGCCTCTACTTCACCTGTGCTCTCCCAAAAATAAATATTTTAAAAAAAGGTGAAAGAACATTGTAGAAAGGGAATACGATGAAGAGTTCATGTCACTGAGTTATGACGGCCACACAAAAGCATTTCAGAGTGAGAGCAGGTGGCCACACTGAGCTCAGATGACAGTGGTGTCAGGGACAGTCTATTCCCAGGGGGATGCTTTCAGCTCTATCGGCTTACCTGCACTCAGAACCTCTTACCTGAAGTATAAAATATTAATGTTCTGGGGAAAAACATCTCAGATGAATCAAGAAATCTTCCACAGGGGGTGGGCCACCCTATGAGCCACAGGAGGTCTGGGGGGCTCATCAGTTAAGTGTCTGACTCTTGATTTCAGCTCAGGTCATGATATCGTGGTTTGTGAGTTCGAGTCCCACATCAGGCTCTGTGCTGACAGATTCTTGGGATTCTCTTTCTCCCTCTCTCTCTGCCCTTCCCCTGCTCTCGTGCTCTCAGGCATGCTCTCTCTCTGTCTCTCTCAAAATAAATAAATAAACATGGAAAAAAAAACCCCACTGCATTGATCCGCAATACAAAATCATGTGTTGTAACAGAACACATTTCTTCACCAAAAATTGTCAGAGCAGAAAAAGAAAAGCTTTCACTGTTCATTTTATGCAGCTGAAACATAGCTAGAACAAGAAATACAATTTTCAGCCAAACTAAGGAGCAGGGACACCAAAATCCTAGTCAAAACATTTGTGAACAGAAATATTTAAAAACATCCCAGAAATGCACTTTAGCAGATTAACAGCTTAAAATTTATTAATGTAATTCAATGCATTAACAGATTAAAGAAAAAAAAACCATGATTATCTAAATGGATGCAGAGACAGCATTTGATAACATCCAATATTCATTCATGATTTTAAAAACTTAGTAATCTAGGGATCTTCTTTAGCCTGAAGGAGCTAGCTACCAGGAGCCGACAGAAAATATTGTACACGGTGATGAGTCATTTGGGGTATTGATTTCCTTTAAAATCAGAACAAGACAGTAATTCCAATGATCATTCCCTCTAGGGTGCATTAGTCAGTGCAAGAAAAAACAAGCATGACGGAATTAAAAATACACTCATCATTTGCAGATATGATGAACTACTGTAGTATTAGGTGTCCTGCAGAGAAACAGAATATATATATTCTTATGTGTAGTCTGAGGCCTCACAGCTAGTAGTGCCCATGGCATAAGTTCCAGACAGAAGGCCAGGAGACTTGAGATCCAAAAAGAGCTGATGTTTCAATTCGAGTCCAACAGCAAAAGACCAATATTCCAGCTCAGTGAAGTCAGAAACTCCCTCCTGGGAGGGTCAGCCTTTTGGTTCTCTTCAGGCCTTCCACTGTTTGGATGCGGACCACCTACATCCCAGAGGGCAATCTGCTTTACTCAGTCACCAGTTCAAATATGAATCTCATCTGGAGGCACTTCCACAGACATACTCAGAATAATGTTTGGCCAGATATCTGGGTACCCTGTGGCCCAGTCAAGTTGACATACAAAATTAAACATCACCAACATCACCCATTGTCAGCTTGGCACCAATATGCATTTCCCTAAGCCATACTTAAGCTCCATATAAAGGCAATAACAAGGTCATACTTCCACCTACCATGATACAACTATCTTGCATGTCACCAAAAACTCCCTAACCACTTCCCCAGAAGAGGAGGTAATGGTTTTATTTTTTATTTTAAAAAATGTTTGCTTATTTGTTTATCTATCTATTAAACTTTTTTTTAACATTTATTTATTTTTGAGAGACAGAGCACAAGTTGGGGAGGGGCAGAGAGAGAATGAGGCAGAGAATCCGAAGCAGGCCCCAGGCTCCGAGCTGTCAGCACAGAGCCCGACGCCCGACTTGAACCCACAAACCGTGAGGCCATGACCTGAGCTGAAGTCGGAAACTTAGCTGACTGAGCCACCCAGACACCCCAATTTATCTATCTATTTAATATATTTTTTTAGGGACAATGAAAGGGGCCACATGTGATATTGGTCAATGTAGGTTTTTTTTTTTTTAATGTTTTTAATTTATTTCTAGGAGAGAGAGAGAGACACAGCGTGAGCAGGGGAGGGTCAGAGAGAGAGGGAGTCACAGACTGAAACAGGCTCCAGGCTCCGAGCTGGCAGTCAGCACAGAGCCCGACGCGGGGCTCGAACCCACGAACCGCGAGATCATGACCTAAGTGAAAGTCGGACGCTTAACCGACTAAGCCACCCAGGTGCCCCTGTAGGTTTTTTTTTTTAAGTTTATTTATTATTTTGAGAGAATGCATAAGTTGGGGAGATGCAGAGAGAGAGAGGGAGAGAGAGAATCTCAAGTAGGTTCTGTGCTGT